GACTTCCGAACAATTTGGATTTGGACATTCTGTGTTGTTCAAGCAATAAACAGAAATATCACATCATTCATTATACTGCCTCATTTCACTTCCTTTTCTTTTAAATCTTTCAGTCATTAAAATAGGGGGAAAATGAAACAATTCTTAAGGTACTTATAGCCATCTAAGAAATTCTTTTTTGTTCAAATGGGGGGAAATTTTAATTTTAAGGGAATAAATTTTTGTTGTTGTTGTTAAACTTGAAGAACCTATTCTTAAAATTAAACGGTATAAAATTTTCAGTCTCAATTTTAGATCTTCAACTCAAAAGTAGGATCAAAATAAATTTTTTTTACTCGGAAAAATATTTTATTGGTAACTACACGAAGGAAAAAATTCTGGTAAAATTTCTGTGATAATGTTAATCTTTAAGAAAAACATAATTCTGAAAATAAGAAAAAAATATGCGGTTTTTAAAATATTCATTTGGTAATATTTTTAGTAACGGTTAACGGGAAATGAGGGTTTTTAAAATTATAGTTTTCATTAGAACATATTTTTAAAACCTACAGAACTGATGAATAACTTTAACTAAACGTGTAATGCTCTAAGATATAATGATAAAGTACAAAATATAAATATATATTTTTGGAACAAATCTTTAACATATATTTTAGAACCCTTATCTAAACTAAAGTATAATAAAAGATTAACTCAAATTAATATTTAGGGGATAAAAACCGATTTCCTTGTTTCAACTCTTACAGATTTTTTTATATATTAATTTGGAATCCCTAATTTGTGTATATGTTAACTTAGATTCGAAAAATAAACGTATGGTAGAATACTCTGACCAAGTACGAAGTATGTAGAGGTTAATAGCAAATCAATGGAAATCAGGGTTCATTATGTTTTCCGTTTTTTCTAAAAGTTAAGTTTTAAAACCATGAAGGGACCATCATGAAGGGAAGGGAAAAGAAGAGATTTTACAGATTATAGCTATTTTTTATTGGTAATATAAGATTTACTGATATTACTTGCATTCAATCAAAGTTATAGTGCTTAAATTCAAGTGACAGACAAATTTCTGAGACAAACTTTCTTATCACTTTCTGTTAAATTCCAATTTTTAGCTCATTCAATTGCGTCATTTGAATTATTTTTTTTAAATTCAGATATAAATTTTTGTTCGCTTTTATTTTGTTTAATTTTCGAAATTAAAATTTAACTTTAATTAAGAGTAATTAAAATTATTTGCAACTGTCTTTTTTCAAACATAAATCGTGATATCAATAATTCCCATTCTTAATAAAGGTTTTCTATGGAAAACAAGAAAACCAAAAGTAAATTTATTTCCAATTAGGTAAGGACATGTTTGCATTAACTCATTTAATACATTTAAAATTGTTTATTTATGTACTGTTCGAATTATTTTATAAGAATGGTCACGTAAAAATTGCTTTTTTTTATATCCGTATATAAAATTTCATTTCTATAGTGCTTTAATTGATCATTTTACTGTTTATTATGCGCATGGATTTCGCTCTTTTTTTATATTTTTTAAATTGTTAAAAAGTGGGACTTCGAATTTTTCCAGCTTTTTGAAAACTTTGTTTTCATTAAAAAATGAAATGCAACTTTTAATTTTATTTAAAAAATCTTGAAAATCGCATATATTTTAATATAAAAAGCTATGAACATCAGCTTAGAAATCCGTAGCAATTAAAACTCATTGTCATGACAAGCCATAAAAAATAATTTTTTTTAATTAGCAAAAATGCTTTGAATTTTTCTCTTTTTTCGTTTGGAATACCAAAAAAAAAAAATTATTTTTTTTTTTACTCCTTGTCATATATGATCACATAGGCCAAATATTCAAGAATAAATTCTTTTCATAATATAGCTATATTTTTTAGGGACCAGTCCATTTTGGAATTTGGCAACTTTGCTTTTGGCTTTTTAATCGGTGTACATACAGAAAAATATTTCTGAATATTTTCGCAATTGTGACTTTTTAAAATGTGTGTATAAGTGCCGATAAAAAAAAAAATTCGATAATTTTCTTCAACGAGGAATTGAAATTTTTAGATTTGAAATTAGAAAATAATTTTCATTTTTATAATGGTTTTGTCTGGAAAAGACCTTCCTAACGATACAGTAACTGGATTCAAGAGGCTTATAAAATTGGTATTTTATGATTAGCATTATATTTAGAGGGAAAGGGGGCTACTGTCGACATGGGGGACGAGAGTAGACAACATTAATTTTTTTTTCCTAGTCATATTTCCTTTGTGAGATGTCGTAAATTGGTAACATTAACGTACAGTGAACCAAAAAAGGATCACCCTGAAAAACTTATGATTTAATGATCGGATCTTCACGTTCTAGGACTCCATCTTAATATTTCGTGGGTGTGACCTTAAATACGCAAATTAAATAGTACAGATGATATTTTATTTTAAGTTACGTAATCAGACACAGAAACATCCTTCCCTGAATAAACATAACTTCTGTTCAACTAATTCGATTACCTAACCTCTATAATATTGGCGATCGAAATGGGCTGCAGGTGGCGTAGAGCGGAACTCTTTTCCTATGGCAACACTTCACATGCTTTCCCCATTAGCGTGTGGAAAGTCATAGAGGAAGGAAGTACGTTAGTTTCTCTCTTGATTTTCATATAGATTGAAATCTTTTAACTTGAAAAACTATATGGAACTGAAAACTACATTAAACATAGTTCTAAAGAAAAGTATTATGGAAATTTTAAAAAATATTCTTATTAAATAAAAAGGAAAAATATTAAGAAAAGGGAAAATATCGTAGTACATTCCTATACAACTGAAAAGAGGAGGAGAGGGAAGGGAGAAGGGCTAAAGGCATGAAACCGGTCTCTCCCCAAATGGCGTATTCGAGTGTTGCGATCGCGAATAGGAGGTAGCCGCAATCCGGGAAATATGATCCCAATATTTTGTTTGGTTGAGCTATCCAAAGTTTCAACCCCCAAATGTTAATTTTATTTTTTCGTACTTCGCCAAAGTTCGAGAGCTTTTTAAGGGAATAAAAAAATTTTTTCACACGATAGCAAAATTCTTTTATCCAAAGATAATTCCATGCAAAAAATAACTTTTAGTAAATATTTATTATTTTTTATTTAATAATAGTCAGAAAACTTGTAAGATATATAGTTTTTTTTTGTGCATAATTTTAAAGTATCTAATTCCACATGGAAAATACAAAATTTAAGTGAACTTGGTTGATTAGTTCCTCTGAAATTGACTTTTATATGTACGACTTTTTTAAAATTTAATTTCTCAGGATTAACCAATTTCGCTCAAATTTTGTATTTTGCATTGTGGAAAACACATAATATTTTTTAATCCAATTTATATGCGAACAAGTAACTTGTTTTCATAAATATATTCGCTAACATGACACATAATTAACTAAAATGACAGTTAGAGATGGAGAACGGAAAGATTTTGAAAGGCCCCGCCAAACGTTTTTGCCCCAGGGATTGCAGGATGAAGTTACGGCACTGGCCTTTGGTCCTCCCCCTTCCCTCTCCTCCTCTTTTCAGTTGTATTGTCGTTGTTGTTGTAGTTCATTATACGTCGCACTAGAGCTACTCAATGGGCTATTGGCGACGGTCTGGAAAATATCAGTGAGGATGATCCGGAGACATTCCATCACAATTTTGATTGTCTGCAGAAGGGATGGCACCCCCGCTTCGCTAGTCCGACTATTTGCACGCGAATTTGAGTACCGGTACCGGTAGTAGAACAGTTTAACGAGGACCAATACCGCACATCCTCGGTCCCTACGCTGACTAATTCAAGTGGTTACCCACCAGCTCACTGACCGTTGCCAGTGATGCTTGACTTCTGTGATCTGCTGGGAACTGTGTCTTAACGATCTTTCCACTGCGGGACCTTTTCAGTTGTATAGGAATGTACTAGGATATTTCTCCTATTCTTAATTTTTTTGGTATTTAATCGCTAAAAATATTTTTTGAAATCTCCTTGCCGCTTTCTCTTAGATCTATGTTTAATGTAGTTTTGAGTTCCATATAATTTCCTACCTTAAAGGATTTTAATCTATTTGAAAATCAAGACATAAACTAACGTACTTCCTTCTTCTATAACTCATTACAAGCTTATGGTGAAAGCATGGGATGTTGCTGTTCATTTACGTCGCACTAGAGCTGCACAATGGGTCATTGGCGACGGTCTGGGAAGCATACCTAAGTATGATCCGAAGACATGCCATCACAATTTTGATCCTCTGTGGAGGGGATGGCACCCCCGCTTCGGTAGTCCGTCAAATTGCACTCGAAGTCGAGCACTTCACGGTCGAACAGTTTAACGAGGACCAAAATCGCACACCCTCGGTCACTACGTAGACTGATCCAAGTGGTCACCCCCCGCACACTGACCGCAGCCAATGATGCTTGACTAAGGGGATATAATTTTAGACTATATGTCAACCTTCATCTATCAAAAAGGTACCTCGTGATGGAATCAAGTTAACATGTCTTATGTACTAGAGATTTGGTATTTAATATTTATAGTGGTAGTTACGCCACATTACTCTCCTTCCAGAATTTTATCTGAGATAGAATTCGATGAACGGATTCCACTAGTTGATTCATGCTGCTTATTTACTTATAACATTTCTGCTCATTATATTTTTTCTTTATTTTTTTTTATTTATAGCCTTTCGCTCATTGCTTTTTTTTTTCTTTCCATATTGTTTATTACCGGGAGATTTTATTTACTTCACCGGATATTTTTTTTCTTTGAGCAGTTTATGTTAAGCAAATCAACTGTTTAATGTGGATCATCCATCATGTTAGCGAATTCATATCACTTCCGGGTCACCAATGAGGGGATATAATTATCGACTATGTCAACCTTCATCTATCCTCGTGATGGAATCAAGTTAACATGTCTTATGTACTAGTGGTTTGGTATTTAATATTTATAGTGGTAGTTACGCTACAACTTCGGAGATCTGCTGCGATAACGATCAGTCCAGTGCGGGACGTGAAAGCAACCGAAGGTAGAGTGTTTTGCTCATTCTGCTCTTCGCCACCTGTAGCCCATTTTGATCGCTAAATACTAGAGCAAGTGAAAAAAAATTGCTTGCGATTGTAAACCTGATTGGTGGGAAATATGGGAAATCGACTTTGGCACATACATTGTTTCCTCAACTGCGGAGAGCAGATGTTAAATTACATATGAGAGCTGTAAGCAGTTTAATGCAAATTTCAATAGAACTTTTTGGTGCTTTTTGGCCGTAACTGAGGCGAAAAAAACAACATACGAATACGTATAAATATTAAGCAATATTATTCATATCATGCAACTTATTTTATTAAAGAAACTTATTTATTATGACGTACTAAGGAAAAAAACAGGTGCAGTGTTGCTTTCGTCGTAAGATGCGGTCTAAATATAAATCATGATTTGTACTGAAAAGAAATTTAAATATTAAGTTTTGGAATGTCCTTCATAATACTTTTAAAACATTCTAACTATCACCGTCTTGTTCATTTTAAGGAGAAGCGTTTTTTTATGCAGTATGTGTAGTGAAACGTTGACTTGTAAAAATAATTTGAGTGAACACTCACTTGTTCATAGTGAAGAAAAGTCTTATTCATGCAGTGTTTGTAATAAAACATTCACACTGAAGGAAAATTTGAAAAGACATTATATTACTCATACTGGAATGAAGCCATTCAGGTGTATTTTGTGAGATAAAACATCATTTGTGTGATAAAACATCTATGCAGTATGAATAGCGAAACGTTGAATTTTAATAATAATTTGAAAGAACACTCACTTGTTCATAGTGGTGAAAAGCCTTATTCATGCAGTCTGTGTAATAAAACATTCACACTGAAGGATAATTTAAGAAGACATTATATTACTCATACTGGAATGAAGCCATTCAGGTGTAATTTGTGTGATAAGACATTCAATCTGGAAGCTAATTTAAATAGACACCGTCAAACTCATACTGGAGAAAAACCTTTCATGTGTAATGTATGTGGTAAATCGTTTCCACATAAAGCAAGTGTAAAAAGGCACTCCCTCATACACACTGGAGAACGGCCTTATTCGTGTAGTGTTTGCAATAAAACATTTAAACAATTAGACCATTTAAATAAGCACTCACTTGTTCACATTGGAGCAAAGCATTTTTCATGCAGTGTGTGTGATAAAAAATTCTCCCGGAAAACTAGTTTAAGAAGACACTACCTCGTTCATACGGGTGAAAAACCTTATTCGTGCAGCGTGTGTAATAAAACATTCGCTCATAGAGAAATTTTAAAGAAGCACTCTTTTATTCATAGCAAAGAGAAACCATATTCATGCAGTGTTTGTGATAAAACGTTCATGCAGTTAGCCCAGTTAAATAAACACTCTAGTATCCACACCAAAGAGAAACCACTGTATTCATGCAGTGTTTGTGATGAAACATTCACACGGATAACCCATTTAGATAAGCACTCACTCGTTCATGACGGAGAGAAGCTTTATTTAAACAGTTCCTGTGATGGAGTGTTCATGCAGAATACTGTTTTAAATAGCAACAATGCCGTAGAGTTGCTCTCGTGTCGTGAATGTCGTCAAACATTTTCTGACGAGGACAGTTTTAATAGACACTGTCTGGTTCATACTAGTCCAAAGTCGTTTTCGTGCAATGTATGCAATAAGACATTTCTACTGGAAACTGATCTAAATAAGCACGCTTCTATTCATACAGACAAAAAGCTTTATTCGTGCAGTGTGTGTAATAAATCGTTCAATCATAAAGGTACTCTAAATAGACACTACCTTATTCATAGCGGAGAGAAGCATTATTCATGCAGTGTGTGCAAGAAAACTTTTGCTCAGAAAACTGGCTTAAATACACACTTCCGTGTTCATACCGGAGAAAAACCTTATTTATGTAAAGTTTGTAATAAAACATTCACCCGGAAGGCATATTTAAATGAACATTCTGCTATACATACTGGAGAAAAGCACTTCTCATGCAGTGTGTGTGATGAAAAATTCCGGTTTAAATCTAATTTGAATAAACATTTTCTTGCTGCTCATAATGAAGAAAAAGTAGAGTTATGTTAAATTTTATTCTTGTCACATAAAATCTTTATATGATGCATATATGATAGATTCTTTCTATTATGTCTAATCAAACTTTCAAATACAGAAAAAATAAGAAAGTGTTTAAATAAATGTTCGTATTAGAGTATTGTATGGTCTGATAAATCTTAAAATAATACAAAATTTGACAAAGAGACTTTATGGTCAAAGATACTTAAAATCTCTTAGAAATATTAAACAACAGTTAGTAGAGCAAATGCATAGTTATAAAAAAGCTACAATTGCCTTTGCCTTTAGAAGCCTTTGTTAGCTTTAGAACCATACTGTAGTAGCATGTCGTGTGATATATCTTATCAAAATAATACAAATTTGATTAGGAGATTTTAGTACAGTATGGGACCCCTAATGCAGCATCCCCAGATTTGGCAGGATCTGAAATTCGGCACTTAATCAGATGTAAAAAATTTTTTTAAAAGAAATTTTTATTCATAAGAGAAAAAAAAATCAGTTATATTCTCTTATTATTTAAAATTTTATTCTGTTGAATAAAGTGACTTAATTTTATCTTTTAAAAATAAAAAAATAATAAATCTGTGTCAAACAAAACATCTGTTCCTAAAGCAGTTTAAAATAAAGTGAAAGGGAAAAGTAAAAACACCTGCATTTCCAATGAATAAAAAAAAGTAATGTAAGTTGGGTTGGGAGAAACTGATCAATCAATTAAGTCAGCTGTGCATGTGCTCTACTGGTGTGTCTCCACATTTCCCTCTTCCAATTGACCATAAATTGGCCACACCTAGTTGACATTGAAACTACCACATGGGGTACAAAGTGGGGTACTATGTCCTCTTTGAGTCTCCTTGACATTGCTATAGTGTTCTTATTCTTGTGCAGTTCTCATATTGTTTTCTTTATCTCACATCGCTTATTTTTTTTATTAGTTATTAACTGTTAATTTTTTTTAGGTAATTGCTAGCTTGTTTTTTTTTAATCGTATTAGTTGTCTGCTTGTTTTTTTAATCGTTGTTAGTTTTTTTTGTCGTTATTAATTGTTAGCTTGTTTCTTGTAGTTATTCATTGTTAGTCTTAGTTTCTTAGCATTAATTTTTTTTTTTTGAAGTTTCTTGTTAGCTTTTTTTTGTGATGTTATCTAAAAGAAAAAAAAAAGAGCAATAATCTCGCTCCAAAGAAGAAACGATTATTTCTTAGTTCGTTGCATAAAGTGGAATTGCTAAAAAAGTTAGACAATGGAACACCTGTAAAAATGCTTTACAAGGAATATGGCGTTGGAAGCTCAATGATTTACAACTTGAAAAACAAAAGGCTGCAATTTTGGATTTTTATGCCAAAAATGATTCTCCTAAACTAATGAAAGACCGAAAAACTTTGCATCATTCCTAAAATAAAGATTTGGATGAAGTTTTGTTGGAATGGATAAGGCAAAGGCGTGCAGAAAGGATTCCTTTAAATCGGACAATTATAATGGAACAAGCAAAGGAGTTTCATAAACTCTAAGAACTGGAAACTGGATGTGATTATTCTTCAGGATGGTTTAACAAATTTAAGAAGCGACACGGACTTAAAATTTTAAACATTTTGGGTGATAAAGCGTCGGCAGATATTGTAAATACAGAATTGTTTGTAGAGGAATTTACGAACATTATGTCTGAAGAAAGGTACTCTCTAGATTTAGTCTACAATGCCGACAAAACTGAGTTGTTCTGGAAATACATTTCTAGGAAAACTTATGTTGCACCAGAAGAAAGTGTCCCTTCTGGAGTGAAAGATTACAAAGAATGAATTACTGTTCTTGGTTGTAACAATGTGACAGGTACACATAAGTGTAAATTGCTAGTTGTGGGTAAAAGTGCTAACCCTAGAGCCCTAAAAAATACTGAGATATTGCCCGTCATTTATAAGAGCAATAAATGTGCCTGGATGACACAGGATATTTTTACGAACTGGTTTAACGATCACTTTCTCCCTGAAGCCGAATCTCACTGTAAATCTTTTGGTTTACCAGATGATTCCAAAATATTGCTGGTGTTGGACAATTGTTAAGCTCATCCAAGCATTGAGATGCTTGAAAAAGATAACATACAGATCATATTTTTACTCCTGAACTGTATGTCTTTAATACAACCCATGGACGGAAGAATTTTGAATTCCTTAAAATGTTTCTATTAATTATTCTAAGGGGATTTCATACGAAACTGCCTTAACGACTGCAATTCCGGCAGCACCATCTAAACTTTTCAAAAAAGTTACAGCGTAAAAAATGCTTTATAGAGCATTGTAAATACATGGCAATCGGTCAAGCAAGAAACCCTTATCAATGCATGGCATCGATTGCGGCCCTCTTCCATTTTCATCGAGGGTAAAAGCGACGCACAATAATTCAAGGGATTTCGGATTTCTTCCGAAAATGAAATGATACAAGAACTTTTAGATTATGTTACTTCAAGCAAAATTGAAAATGTTCTTGACAAAAACATGATTAAAGACTGTCTGTCAATTGACGAAAACGCGGCAGTTACCTTGCAATTGACAAGTGAAGAAATCATTGACGTAGCTCTCGACAAAGAAAATAGCGATGAAGATTCCGAGGAAGAAAATATTGAGGAGACTAAAAAAATTTCAATTGAACATATGGTAGAGTTAAGCAAAGAATTGATTAAAGGAATGGAGCAGAAATCATTTTTAAAAGAACATGACATTTTATCTGTGTATAAAATCCAAGAATTTTTATTAAAAGAACAGCCTAAACATTTAAGACAATTAAAAGTTAGTGATATGTTTAAATCCAGTAGTAAAAAGTGATAGCATTTAAGAAACAAGTATTTATTTCTTTTGTCCTTTTAAATTCATATTATTAATCATTAAATTTCTTGCTACTGCATCGAAATAGTGAATATTTGAAGGTAAGTACATGCGTTTGGTATATTTAAAAGACATATATTGTTATTTCTATTATATGAATTATTATTTTAATTAATAAAATTTCTTAAGATGGGGCAGTTGTGAATTCATCCCATGATAATCTATGATCAAAACTTAATTAAATTTATTGGTTTTTCTGAAATTGACAGTATAATTTATTGTAGTATATGGGCGCCATATTGGAATTTCAGAAATACGGAATTTCCGTGGTCCAGTGAGTGCCGAATTTGGGGTCCTATACTTTATAGTGAAAGAGACCGAAAATCTCTTTGAAACATTTAACAAAGTAAGTACCTAGAGAAAATGCGCCAAATTTCTTTTTTGCATGTTTTTTAGCTAGGAAAAGTGTTTATATGTAAATTTTTGTTTATTTCGCTTAAGTTTCAGAGATATACGTTATTGAAAATATGCTTAATCACAAAAATATTAAAAAGATCAAACGCTAGATAATAGTTTTCTCAAATGCTTTTTAAGAAACCTAAAAAATTAAAAATTCTGAAATGATTTGAGTTTTATAAATATGTATATAAGTTTATATACATATGTATGTAATATATGTTTAATTATACATATTATATGTTTAATTATGCTGAAAACTGTTACACATTTAAGAGGACGTCACACTGCGGGAAAAAATTTTCTTCTAAAATTGCCTTTATCCTCCGTAACTAATTTAAAAGAAAGAAAAAGTAAGTTCAGGCAAACCAAGAGTAAGTCATGAAGTTTCAGTTGCTGAAAAAAAAAATTTAAAATATTAAAATGCAAACAATTTATTAGAAGAGAACTTCTCTGTTGCGTAATCCTAAGTTATCCCCTCATAATTTGTTTTCATTTGTATATTTAAAAATTTTCTTTTCAGTATTTGAAACTCCATGGCTTACTCTAGGTTTGTCTGAATTCACTTTTTCTATACTTTAATTAGTAATGAAGGAGAAAGAGAATTTGTGAGGAAAATTTTCTTCTTCAATGGTATGGCGTCCTTTTAAAGTTCTGAAAGTTTCCTGGTATGTCTCGCAGTCACACTGAGATACGTGTAACGAGGTTTTTAACTAAGCCGAGCAGCCAAAGTCTAGACATGATGAGTCCAAATATATAACAGGTAATAGCTATTTGACACTAATTAGTTTTGTATCTCCTATTCTCTTTATATGTTTATTACAGTAGTAGTAAAATATCCTGCATACCGTATATTCCGGCGCATAACGCCCCCCGGCGTATAACACGCACCAGTAATTTCTAATAACTTTTTTTAAATTTTAAGATACACTCTTCGTATAACGCACATGAAAATTTGGATTGTACATGTGCAATATCTCGTCTAGTATCTATAGAAAACCAGAAAGCCTTTCAGTGTGGGACATGTTTAGATCCCACTTTACAGATAATGCAAAAAAAAATTGTTGAAAGAATTTAACACCGATGTGGCAGTTATTATGGGCGGATTGACACCATTAGTTCAGCCATTGGAATTCTGCTTTTAAAGCCAATTTAAAAAAAACAGTGGAACACTTGGTTGTTGGAGGGCGAGAAAACCTTTAAGAAAGGAGGATATATGCATCATGCAAGTTTGGAAACAGTGTGCGAATGGATATTAAAAGCATGGGATGAAATTAAGCCTGAGATGGTTAGAAAATCATTAAAAAATGCAGCATTTCAAATAATCTGGACGGATCAGAAGATGACTGTTTATTCATGGATGAGGGTAACACAGATGATGAAGACGAAACAGATTGTGATGACGTGCCTGAAGAAATAACGGAAGACGAATATAATGAACTATTTATGTAATAACGAAAATCAATGAAGTATATAGGTATGTTATTTTTTTAAACGAAAAATATTTTTCTAAATTTAAATTTTTTTAATCTATAATTTTTTATATTCGGGGTATACCGCGCACCCGTAAATTCCAATGTTATTTTTTGTATTAAAAGTGCGCGTTAATACGCCGCAATATACGGTAAGTTGTATTAACTCCCTGAGAGTTTGTCTCGGCTTTTTCAAACTTTCAACAGTTGGCTTTCCTGTATCAAAAAACTGGTTTCCCCATGTTATTATTCAATAGCAAAGAAATGCATAACGGGAAATTTCAATACAATTTTACCCTATAGCTCAACAACAGAAGGGTTAATCACCTCAATTATTAATATCATAAAATCTGACATCAATGTATTAGGTATTTCACATCTCCTAAAACGCAAAAATAGGTTTCAGGTACAAAATATCAGTGTGCGTACAGACTACTTAGAAACAAAAAAGTCTCCAAAGAGTACTTGAAACTAATTAGATTTCTAAATTAGTCCTTACAAACTCCTTAGATTATTGTGTTGTATAGATAAACTTACTAAGTCCGCTGATGAATTTGCTGTCCAAGCAGGGAAACTAAATTATATGACTTAGCTGTCAAAATCTAATAGTTTTATGAAAAACTTTAAAAGAAAAAAAATTGAATTGCAAGAGTTAGAAGGAAAAAATAACAGCAAATAATTTAAATTTTACATGTTACAAGCAATCTTAATTAATAATTTATTGTGATTTTTTTTGTTTGTTTGTATAAAATGCCTTAGATTTTCTTATGTATTCAAATTTAAAAATATAAGATTGGTAGGTTTTTATGTTAATCTTTAACATCTATACTTCAACAAGATTTATTAAAACTTTATTTTTCTTAATGAAGTTTGACAAAGTCAAAATTTATTTCAAAAGGGCTAGAAATATATATGCAAACTATACATTTTTGCGAGTTCCTTATAATAACTGCTTTTTAGTTTAAAAAAAAACTGTCTAGTTATCTTTTACACAAAGTGTTTTAAATTTTGATAAGTCCTTAAAACTTTGGATGCTCCTTGGATTTCTTCTTCTGATCTCTATATGAACCTTGAAATATGAATAACAGTTCAACTAACCAGAAAGCTCAAGAAAGGAAAACTTTCAGCAACATATACTTTTTAATTATTTTTTTAGAAGAAAACTGATTTGGACATTAAAAGAATTTCAGGATTTATCTTATCAGAACCAGGATTTGTACGGTCCTTAGAAAATTAAAAAGTGCTTTTAATAAGAAAAACTACAGATTTCTTTAAATAGTTTTTACTTTAAAATTAAAGAAAAAAATCTATATCAGATTTTGTGACAAAATTTGGAAACATTAAGCAAAGTGGTGGATACTAAATGACGATTTTAATTTTGTTTCCACTTTTTAAATTTTAAGGACCTTACAAACCTTGAGAATTTTTTCCATATGTCATTGAGTTTTTTTTCACTTTTTCCTTTTCCCCAAAAAAAGAAAACCATACTTTTTAAAAATCAGAAACTTTCTCTAGCTCAGCCTGAAATCAATTCGTTTGTCATAAAAGCTAGTAACTACTCTTCACAGGGTGCATGGCGTTTTTAAAAAGTGCTTATTTTCGATTTTTAAAAGCCCTTAAAGGTGCTTTTTTCATTGGGTGTTTTTAAAAAGTGCTTAATTTTTCCCTTTTTCGAAATGAGATTTTTCTTTACCATGTTGATTTTCGCTTTGAATTATGCAAAAAGACACAGTTCACATTGTTCTATTCAATGTTTTCACCATTAATTCAACCCCAATCTATTTCGGCGTATTGTCAGTCCGTAGGGTATGAAAACGCCATTCGTTTTCAACTATTCAAAATTTCATAATTTTTGACAATTGCCGAAAACAATGCCAAAAGTTTTTTTCTTAGACATGACGGCTAAAACATGATAAAACCGTCAATTATCAAAACTTTCCAACCCTGCCTAATTATGATCTATTTTTGAAGTGCTTAAAAGGTGCTTATTTTTTGTTGAATAATTTGGCAACGCACCCGTCTTCACTTTTTGTCTACCTCTAAGATTTTTTATTTTTACTATTACGCAAAATGAGTAATTTTTATCGTAAGCCGACGGGCTGCTAACTAACATAAGCGTTTTTCTTTCTTTTTTTCATAGTTTCACGAATTCTGCTTAATGATTTTAATTAGAAACATGTTTAATTATTTTAAGAACAGTGATAGAGTGAATAAAAAAATATAAAGCAAAGCAGATGATTTATAAAAGGATGAACTTACTGGCGATAATGTTAAATTTCGATTAAATAAAATTAACATGGAGACATTGTTAGGATCATATTCCATGGTGTACTGATTTATGCCTATTTGTAGTTTTCATTTTTTTAAACAAAAATTTTAAATTCACTTATAATACTTTTTGAGTCTTTTTTTTATAGTAATTTAGTATTTTTTTTTCACTTTTAATTCTTTCTTTTTATGTTAATCTACTATAATAGTTTTTTTCTTTTTTATTCTAATTATTTATTATTGGAACAAGTTTGATGAAGTTAGATTTTTAATCTGTGATTTAATATGGTATGGTACTTTTTCAGGAAAATACTGCTATGTTGAAAACAAAAAAGGTTTGGCATTAATTGAAACAGATGGTTAATAATTAAAAGAGATGAGAATAAAAAACGTTTATCTTTACATTCTTTTTATAAGAGTGAAAAAAAAGGTAAATAAAAGTAAGTATTATAAGTCAATTTTTTTTTCTGTTTTATTCACATTTTTTCCACTTTGCAATATCAGTTTTTTTCCGTTTTGATTAACTAACTAGCCATAAGGAAATTCAACCCTTATATTTTTTTCCTATTTAATTTAATTTTTATGTGTTTAAAAGAATAAATAAAATAAAGTATAAAATCAAAATTGGTGGAGGTCTACATTTTTTGGGACTTTTCACTTAGGTTCGGCTAACCAAAAAGTTCCTTTTTTTAAAAATTGTATTCTTCAATCTGTTATTCATTTTTAATATTTTTATAGAGAACTATTTCTGCTTTTATCTACTTATAATATTTCTATAATCAGTGATTTTGATAGATATCCGCTTTTTTTTTTGAACTTTTATTATGCCACAGCATATCTTTTATTTAATACCATAATATGGAATTGTTTTAATTAATTTGTTCTGCATTAAATAATTATAACAAATTTGTATTTCTAATTGTATTCTTCAATCTGTTATTCATTTTTAATATTTTTATAGATAACTAAAGTGGATTTTTGCTTTTTATAATATTTCTATAATCGGTGATTGTGATAGATATTTGCTTTTTTTTGGCACTTTTTTAATGCCACAGTATATCTTTCATTTAATACAATAATATGGAATTATTTACTTCAGCATTAAATAATTAGAAAAAATTTGTATTTCTAATTGTATTCTTCAATCTGTCATTTATAAAAATATTAAAAACGAATAACTATTGTGGCTTTTTTCTATTTTATAATATTTCTCCAATCAGTGATTGTGATAGATGTCTGCTTTTTGGCACTTTTAATATGCCGCAGCATATCTTTCATTTAATACAATAATATGGAATGATTTATTAATTAATTAGAACTAATTTTTATTATTTGTTAAAAATGTAATTTTTTTCTCCACTCTTATTTTGTTTTTCTTCTCACTTAAATTTTTTTTTCTTCAGTTGTTAATAGTTTTTATGAAAAATTAACTATTTGTTTTTACCCTTTATTCCAAATTTTTTTATTAATGTTGATTCATATCTTTTCAGAAAATTAGATAATATAGGAAATTGAGGTTTTCAATTATTTAAAATTTTCGAAGTATTGCACAATCTAGAAAGTTAAGCATTTATTGTAGTTCTAAATTCCTTAAACAATCAACAGATTTACAGAAAGAAATTAAATTTTTACTCTTCCATACACGAATTACAACTTTAAACAACATTTAAACATCTATAAACATGATTTTATTTGTATACACATTCTTCACAGACAAATAGATTGCAACAATTTTTGAATTAAATTCTCTAATTTAATATAGAATCTTTCTTTGTTAATCAGAACTGTAAATAATTTAAAAATCCTAAAATAAATAATGTAATAAATTAATCGCATAAATAATTAATTCTAAAAAGTATGTATAAAACATAAATAGTAAAAATAAATTTAAATATTCATTACATCTAAGTACAAAATTATAAATATATAAAAAATAATAAAATTAAGAATAATCAACAGTAAAAATTCAAAATATTTCACATTCTTCATAAATTAGTATTGCACATTTAACATTTGAGGCTCTAATAATTTAGTATGATGACTTTCAATTTAGTATGACTAAGACTACTGTGTCGACTTCCTTGGAGCAACTGGTGGTAGATATGCTGGCGGCTGAGTTGGTCGAGCTGGTAATGAAGGTGGTCCTACAGATGATCTGTTAGGTGCTTTTGGACGAGAAGGAATGGGGGGTGCCATCGCAGTTACACCATCAGAACCTTCAACAGCACTTTCTCCTTTCTTTTTGCTAACACTTTTCTCGATAGCACTTAAATCTGGGGGTGGAGGGGGAGGTGCAGATGGTGGAGGACAAGATTTATAATTATCTCCTGGATCATTATTTGATATGGTAGTATGTTCTTGGCATTCCTCACTTTCATACTTTGGAGTTTGGATTACATTTTTCTCTGGTGGTTGAGGCCTCTGTGTAAAAAAATATTTTATGTTAATATAAAAATTAACAGAGATGATTGTGCTCTGGAAAAAATCCGGATGTCTGGATTTTTCGCTGATCGGTATCCAGAAATCCAAGATCCAGAAGTTTCAAGAAATCATTGATCACATTTATGTATAAAAATTCTTGGATATTTTATTCAAAAATATTAGAACTAAAATTCATACTTGGCCTCTCTTCCGTTTGTAAATATTTTTTCCGGTAGAATAATAAATGTGATTAGAGATAAAAGTAAACTTATACATAATTATTCATTTAAATTATGCTACATATAATTTATTTAGAATTTCATGTTTTGAAAATATCAATGATTAAAACTTATAAAGACATTGATTTTTTGAAATGCATCATTAATTATTTTACTCAAGAAATTTTCAGGATTTTTGAGTTGGGCTCACAATACTTTGTATCAAGGCAATATGTACAAAACCCCTGTATCAAGGCAATATTCTATGCAAAATTTCCTCTTCAATAATGCAAGAAAGGCAATGGTACTTTTTAAATTCTACCATACGTTAAAGATGGCTCAGAAGTAAAAGGTGCTTTTAATCTAGAATCTATATCATTAAAATGTTTCGACGGAATGTATACAATGCCGAAACGATTTGTTGCTGACAATACGGTCTCAATCAAGTTAAACATTTCACATTGTTGAAAGCATTATTTATGATTTTGAAAAACCGACAAAGTATAATACAAGAATTTTATTGGTATGATTATGATTTAGCATTAGTTCAACCCCTTCCTTCTCATTCCCGTGAAAACGACTGGGTGAGGTTTCGCCCTCTATTTCTAGCTCCCGTGCCAATAAGAGTAAAACTAATTCATTTCTTTTGCCCAGAAAACATTTTATTTCTCAATTTTACACACTAGATGGCAGTACCAGGATATTTTTAAGGTAATTGTAGATAGTNCCGGTTTTTTGGTTTTCTGATTTCCGGATAACGGGTTCTGTACTGTACAAAAGCCAAAAAAATAGGAACTTTTCTGACTGTTTTCTTGAAAATTAATTGATCGTTAAGGGGTTAAAGTAATATATTGGTAAATAATACAGGGTAATTCAAAATGAATAAAGCAATTACAAACAGCTATAACTGTTCAATGAAAAATAATTTATCGATAAAATTAACATAGAATGTAGAAGGAACTTCAAAATTTCTTTATGTAAGTGTTATGTTGTTCATATTCTTGAAAATAAAGTGCTGATACTTGATAAAATTTTCTGTACGTTAGCAGTAAATAGTGTTCAGATGCTTTAATTTTTGATTGCTTGAATTACAATTTGGTACTTGAAACACAGAGAATGCTGCAAATCACAAGATTGGGCATAATTGGTTGTACTTGGCCTGTTGAAGTTACAGCATTAATTATTATCATGCTGAAGCAATTTTCTGATCAGATTTACCTGTAAGTGATGTCAAACGTGATTGGCTGCAGAATCGTGACATAAACAAATACCAAACCACAGGTGACGTCGCTTGCGGGAATTCAATTATAATTTTAATTTAAAATTTACGTATTTTAATCTAAGTACTAATGTAGTGTAGAAAATTTTATGGCAATATTACACAATGTTTACTTTCACACCTAATTTTAGTATGCTACTTTAAGAAGCAGATAGTATATTAAAATTAGGTGTGAATTTTTCCTATATAATTAAAAACATCCTATATAATATTGTTTTCTCATTTTTGTAAAATATTTCATAATTAACCTTGCATTAGGTCAAATAAGTATAGTTCATTCACCAGAAGTTGGCACTTGTCTCCGCCTTCATCACATGGTATCAGATGACAGTCCATACCTGCCAAGTCTCTTGCTTTTTTTAAGAAGACTCCTGTATTTTATGATTATCTCCGATTTATCTGTATATTCTCAAATTTCTCCATATTTGTTGAAGAAATTTTTAAAAAAATTTGGCAATAAAATATCCTCTGACGGCAAAAATACTCTTGTTCCTCAACAGATGCTGCTATTGCCAATACTGCAGTATGTTGAGTGTTTATAGTTTAAGTAATTAATAATGGTTTGAAAAAATCTTTAGATGAAGATTTCTATACGTATTTTTTACTTCACTATATGCAAGTGCTTCTATTATTTCCGATTTTGAATTACATGATGTATCAAAACTTTACTTTGTAGTCTAAAAAATGTCGCTAGTAAATTTTCTGTTATACTATTTCTCAAATGTTGGTAGGTATGCAATACTATTTCGCTATTTTTGGGAGAAAGATGAGAACAATCGGAGTTGCTATTTGGCGGTCTTATGAGAAAAATATTTATTTTGAAGCTTTATACGCATTATTTTAACATTAAATATTTCATAAATTGGATGATATTTCTCTCTTTTGAGTAACTTTGTCCTTTTTGAGACATTTTGCTGGGTAAACAGCAGTTTTAAAATTTAAAATATATTTAATTAGTTAGAGTAACAAAAGGTATAATAGCAGATGATACTACAAATGACGGAAAAAGGATTCACTGTTTGCGTTTGGCATTCATTAAGGGTTGTCTCAATTTCAAGCACGGAGATGTTTCTCTTCTTACTCTGCTAAAATGAACTGTGCGTCCGAGGAGGTGGAGTCAAGTGCTAACTCACTATAAAGAACTAATTAGAGTTTTCTTCTCAGTATTCAAACTTTCTCAATTAATAAACACAAAAGAAATTTGGTATTTTAACAAGAAAAACAAGAAGTGAAAAGATTTCTTAGGTGCACCAAGCGCTCAATTATAAGAAATGCCTTGCATACCTGAGGAGGTGGAGGACGCATTGGAGCACTTGCTGGAGGACGCACTGGAGCTGGAGGACGAGGAGGAACTTTTACAGGAGAATTACATTTAGAACCATCTGAAAAACAGGCAATTGAATTTAATTCATAACTTAATTGGAATAATAGAATACACTAATATTAAATCATAGAATGCACAATTATTAATCTAAATGATATTTGCTCAATTTTACATACAAGTAACATGTATGCTATTTAGTTTTTTGAGATATTGTTTTATCTTACACATAGCAAAGAATTATTTTAAATTATCTAGTCAGCATTATGAATTAGTGCATATCAAAAAGAATATTTTGTCTTTTGAAAAGATCACCTGAAATTGATCTTTTAAAGACAGTTGATAAAGAAATTCTAGTTTTAATTCTTTATTTAATTTATTACTCAATCAATTGCCAATCTCAATTATTACAACGTAGGGATTTTTATTATTTTAAATAGAGGTCCACTTTAGCAAAATAGGAAAGGAAATTTGAAAACCTACGGAGTGGTAGTTTTCAAAGTTTCGCTAAATCACTGATACCTTTCCCCCCTCAAATTCAAGAAATGAATACTAATTCAAAACTAAATAATTAAGGAACAATTATAAATTTAGTAAGGACCAGTAAGTACAAAGTATATTACGTCATGAGGTGACAAAGCTACCATTACTCTCCTAATCCTAAAGTATTATTATTTTTTTGGATAACATAAATGTAAAGATTTTTATTATTTTAAAGAGAAGCATACTTTTAGCAAAATAGAAAAGGAAATATGAAACTCTTAAAGCTTGCGAATTGTTAGTTTTCAAAGTTTTGCTAGATCACTGATACTTTTCTCCCTCAAATTCGGGTAATGAATACTTATTCAAAACTAAATTATTAAGGAACAATTATAACTCTAGTAAGGACTAGTAAGTACGAAGTATATTATGCTATAACCCATTAGGTGTCAAAGCTACCGTTATGGAAACAACTACTCTTCATCTTTTTCTCCTTCCTTCATTGATTAGTTTTATGTTTTATTAATGGATCACTGAATATAAAATATCCCATATTATTTTTTATGTGAATGAAAAGTGTTTATCAAGTATTCAAATTTTATACTAAAAATAGTCTTAATGAGAAAAATTCGCAACCTTTTTTTTATTATCTTTTTTGAACACAACTTTTTGTTAAATGTATAATTAAGGAAAATCTTTAAAAGTAATCTTCAAAAGCTGAGTCAAAAATTTTATTACAAGTAGTTGATAGCGACCCTCCTGCTTGGTGGTCCCGATATGTGAGCTTTGGTGGGAAGTTTAGTCAAATTGACTTTTCACTTATTCTTTTGTTCAAAAGCTTGACATTGAGTAAGATTGTAATGGAATTACCAAAATATCTTTATCAATGACAGCGCTAAGATATAAAGTGTGAACTCTTCTTGCTTATGAAGTGTAGGTCATCTTAGAGACCTAACTATTGACCACTTCTCTTTGTTTGTAAAACATGATTTGCCATTCTTAAGGAACAAGAGTTGTATTAGACCTCATTCCACATGCAACAAACCCTAAGTGTCATATTAATTTCGTTGAAAACTTTTTTTCAATTCTCGAATTTTATAGAAAATTATGGGAGATAAAGAATTTAAAAATCAAGGGAACAATTAAAGAAAATAGACTAAAAAAATGACCTCTAAGGATATAAATAAATTTAAAAAGTGAAGCATTGGTCAAAATATCCACAAAAGAAATATCTGTTGTAAAATGTAATGATAATGTGGTGTGCATGGTTTCAGATTTAGAATGCTATTGAAAAAACAAAAAGGTGGTGTCATACAAAAAAAGAAAAAACTTGCAACCCAAACAAAAAAGTAAATTTTCCATTATTTTTTTTTTTTTTTAGTTAAATTTGTTGATTTTATACTTTATTTATGATGTGAAAGTTCTCTTGATAGTCAAATTGCATAAAGTAGTAGAGGTTTTTCAATTCGCATTTGGAAAATTGAAGGGATGGGGAGAAAAATTTGACAAGGTAGTGTCAAGACTTCTGTGTCAGAAAATAGCTATAAAAAACTAATTAATTTTTTAGTACAAAATCTTTATGCAGTATACTCTAGATATTTTGAACTTCAATATCTTCAAAACATTGTTTTGTCAAAAAAAATATTTTTCCCTTTACAGGGGTCTGTCCAGGCCGAATTTACTACCGTTTAGCGGTATCTTCACAAATTCAACTTTAGGAAAAACGGTAGTTTCACAAAATACTTTTTCTTAAAATTTTTTTTTATCCCTTAAGAAACAATAAATCCATATTTTTGTGTCGATTTCTTAATATATTTTTTAATTTTTCAGAAATTATGTTTAAATTTTCACAAATTAGGTACCTCTTAGAAAAGCCTAGACAGACCCCTGCTTTACCATTACATATTGACCTAATGTTAATTTAAATTCCGAAATAAAATGTCGAAGGGTTTCTTCTCAAAACCTTGCTATGTTGAATTTTTTTCAAAATAGAAAATGAATTTTTTCTCCAAAATCACAATGTAAGTTCACTGTGAACCAATTTTCTATTTAATGCCTAATTATTTTTTCGTGCTTCAAATAAAAATAAAATAAAATAATCATTGCAAAATAAAATACTAAGTGCAGAAATAAAATTATCATTATTGTATTTAGATTTATAGTCAACTAGCATTACATACATATTTAATAGTATAGTTATTCTCCTGTTTCATGACTCTATTTTTTATGGTAATAATTTTCATTTTTTTAGAACATACTTAGTTCTGAACTTGTTATCTCGAATTTTTTAGCTTCCCTTCAACTTTGAGATGTCAAGAGTATACTGTATTTACAATTTTAAATGCAATAATTATAAAATAGTTTAAAAAATGATTGATGTTTAATACATTAGCGCCTAATAGTTTAATATATTGTCTTAAGTGACAAATAACAAAAATCTTAAGCACAAATCATACAAAAAAACTCCACTTCTTACCTACTTATTTCATACAGTAAGTCTTTCAGATATATCAAATTTCAATCTGACCTTCATTTTAGATGCCTGTGACTTTTAACAAAATTATTTTACCTACATCCAGTACATTAAGTTAAAATGTATTTAGGCAACTTACCATCAGCAATAGCATGCCATTCTTTATGACAATCCAAGGTATTCAAAACGTGATCATTCAGTTCACTACTATCAGCTGAATCGGGGTTGTTATCCTCATTTAATAATTCATAAAAAGTGGATTCTTCATCAGATGGCTTAGGTGGCAATATGTTTGACAATAGAGGTGTTGTGTTATTTTGGCAAAGTTTTAAAATTTTGCAGATGCTGGCTTGCCATTCTGGGGATTTCAATCGAACTCTAAGTAAGCAGCCATCGATCTAAAATTTAATTATAAGTACTTAGCTCATGCATACAATACACAAAATTTTAAAATACATTTTAAATAAAGGTAATGCATTTAAA